TCAACTTTTGCACATGGATCTTTTTGGTCCTTCTAGAACGAAAAGTTTTGGTGGCAATTACTTTGCGTTTGTGATTGTCGATGACTACTCTAGGTTTACATGGACCTTGTTTCTTACTCATAAAAGTGAAGCATTTCATGTTTTCAAAAATTTTCTAAAGAAAGTTCAAAATGAAAAAGAAACAACCATAGTAGCCATATGAAGCGACCATGGGGGAGAGTTCGAGCGAAATCTGTTTTCAGATTTGTGTGACGAACTTGGCATTGATCAGAACTTCTCAGCCCCACGTACACCACAACAAAATGGAGTGGTGGAACGTAAAAATAGATGCCTCAAAGAGATGGCTACAACTATGATCAATGAGGCAAAAATCCCTAAGTATTTTTGGGCAGATGCCATGAGTACCGCGAGCTACGTGTTAAACCGAGCCGTCATTCGACCAATACTCATGAAAACGCCCTATGAACTATACAAAGGGAGAAAGCCAAACCTTTCCCATCTTCGAGTCTTTGGTTGCAAATATTTTATTCATAATAACGGCAAAGATAACTTGGGAAAATTTGATGCCAAATCGGACGAAGGGATTTTTCTTGGTTATTTTCTTCGCAGCAAGGCCTATAGAGTATTTAATAAATGTACTTTGACTATTGAGGAGTCCCCTCATATTGTATTTTCCGAAGATAATCCTCGCTTGGCGAGAAAGGCTATTTGTGACGATCTTGCAGATTCATTAGAGAGAGTACACATTGAAGACGATGAAGAAGACACGCCATTATACACCAACCCGCAACCACAACCTGAGGAAACACCTCAAGTGATGATCGAAAATGAGGACCAAGCAGACGAAGAAGAACAAGAGGAAACCCAGGAACAAGAGGAAACCGAGCTTCCCATCGCCTGGAGAACGCACAGAAACCATCCACTTGATCAGGTAATCGGCAGCATCAACCGCGGGGTAAGTACTCGTAACTCTCTTAGGGACACCGTAGGACACATGGCTTTTGTATCTCAAATTGAACCTACAACCATTTCCGAAGCAATAAACGATGAACATTGGACCTT